ACTCTTTTATGATTCTCATGTTCCCAGGAATTGCAGAGCATGTGATCTAACTAACTAGTTTAAGATAAATGAGCCAGGCATGGTGGTGCAGGCCTATAACCCAAGCCCTCAGAAGGCAGAGGCAGGTGGAGCTCAGTGAATTTGAGGTCAGCCTGATTTACATAGTGCCTTGGAGGCCATTGTAAAGTAAGACCCTGTCACCAGAGGTGGGGGTGGGGTGGATATCACACATGCTCCAGGTAGTTCCTGGTATTTAGCAGGTACATAGTCAAGAGTTTTTTTGTTTTGTTTTGTTTTTGTTTTTGTTTTCTTTTTCCCATTTTGCCCTTTTATTTTTGTTTCTCTTTTAAAACAGGGTCTCAGGTGGCCCAGGCTGACTTCACTCTAACTATTTAGCCAAGAATGACTTTGTACTCTTGATTCTCCTGCCTGCATACCCTGAGTTCTGGGATTACAAACATGTTGTTCCTCATGTTCCATCATGACTGGCTTCATTTTGTCCTTTTTTTACAGGGTATGCACCTGTAAAGTGAGTAGAAGTAGAAGTAGAGTCGTAGATGATTCTAAACCATGCTCTGGGTGCTAGGATATTAACCTGGGTCCTCCAGCAAGAGCAACAAGCATTCTTAACCACCGAGCCATCTCTCTAGCCCCAGAATCTTTTTAAAAATAATATTTTAATTAATTCTTTGAGAATCCTATATAGTATATTTTGATCATACTCACACATACTCATTCCTCCTAGGTCCACTCTCTCTACCCTGATGGCCCTTAGAGTTCTTTTTGGTTTTTCAAGACAGGGTTTCTCTGTGTAGCTTAGGAGCCTATCCTGGCACTCGCTCTGGAGACCAGGCTGGCCTCGAACTCACAGAGATCCGCCTGCCTCTGCCTCCCAAGTGCTGGAATTAAAGGTGTGCACCACCAACGCCCGGCCCTAGAGTTCTTTTAATCTAGTCTGTGTTGCCTGTTACTCTTGGGGGTGGGACATGCCATGGAGTGTGGTTGACCTATCAAGAATCACACCATCGGGCTGGAGAGATGGCTCAGAGGTTAAGAGCACTGACTGCTCTTCCAGAGGTGCTGAGTTCAATTCCCAGCAACCACATGGCGGCTCCCAACCATCCATTATGAGATCTGGTGCCCTCTTCTGGTGTGCAGATATACATGGAAGCAGAATGTTGTATACATAATAAATAGATATATAAATAAAAAGAATCACACCATCAAAAAGACTGACTCCCCCGTCTTTGTGGGGAGAAGGGATCTTAACAGTTTTTTAACAGTTGAAAGGAATTCTAGTACTGTGTTACCATGCCTATCTTGAAGGAAATCTTGAGAGGAAAATGTTTGAGAACCTTCCACTTTGTGTGTACCTTGCTTTGTAGACCAGGCTGGCCTTGAACTCACAGAGATCTGCCTGCCTCTTCCTACCAAGTGCTGGGATTGAAGGTGAGTGTCACCACTCCCCAACTGTGCTTCTTTTTACATCTTATTTATTTTGAATGTTCACACACATATGCACACAATGCAATCAGAGATCAGAAGACAGCTTTCGAAGCCAGTTCTCTCCTTCAACCACACAGATTCTGGGTCATCAGAATTTATGGGAAGTACTTTTTAACCCGATGAGCACTCTGGCTAGCCCCTAAATTTAAAAGAAAAACAACAACAACAACAACAACTAAAGGTCACTTCTGTGTATATTACTGTGAATACATGATTTACTTGAACTAAAGCTTTAAGTTGTTGGGGAAAAAGAATTCCTTCCTTTTCCTTTTTCTTTTTCTTTTTCTTTTTCTTTTTCTTTTTTTTTTTGAAACAGTGTTGCTATGTAGCTCAGGTGGCCTTGTCTATGGTCTTCCTCTGCTGGATTACAGGCAAGCACCACCACACCTGGATGATTTTGTTTATCGAGGTGGGTGGGGTCTCAGCCTTGTACCCTGGGCTCTCGTGGTCTTTATTTAGTCTTTCTGGTTAGTAGCTGGAGCTGCACCCTTATGCTGGTCATTACTGAAACTTAGGTGCCAGTAAATGATTGTGGGTTCTGACACCAGCTAGTGAGAAGTCTCTTGGTTCTGTTTTTATTCACAGACTACTGCTACATAAGGTATCTATACATTATTCTTCATTAAACCGGGAGATTAGTAAGTGGTGTTAAGGAAAGATACTTTTAAAATCAGTACTGAATGGATACATTCTTGGTGTAACAGGGATTTACTGACTAGGTGAGACAAGTCAGCCCTTCTCTTTCTTAGCTGAATACTGGTATATAAATGCAAGAGGTTTTAGAGTTTGTCCTCTGTGGAAGAGGAGGGTATTTGTCAGTAGCATAGTTCACTAAATGCAGCCAACATGGCTCTGGAAATTAGGGTAGGGGCTGTTTTGTGTCTGTTGAGGAAACCTACCACATGCTTACACAAACTAGATCCTGATCAAATTTTAGCAGAACTGAATTACACTGAGGTCTATTCTTAGTCCTAGTCTTCCTCTCTCTGAATGTCCTTCTCATTCTATATTCTCCCCTTTTCATTCCCTCAGTTATTTAATCCAGACAGTATTCTCCAGTGAAGCCCTTGTGTAACTGAGATAACCATAATTTTTTATTCCTTTGAAGAGGAAATTGAGGAGTCTGGCAGGTCAGTACATAAATGACACTAGTCTGCAATTTGGCCTTCAAGTTCTGCTTTCTTTAAGTGGAAGGATTTATTTTATTCCCGGTACTTCTCAGCCCTCACTGGTATCTGGAATACCTTCATCCTCCACTCACTGGAGGCTGAATGCTGCAAGCTGCACTGTGGCGAGTCTGTTTCAGCATTCTCCCCAGCCCTGCTTTTAGCTGAGAGTCTGTGGCTGCTTCTCTGGTTTTCAGAGACTGGTTCCAGATGAGCACAGAGGCTGCCATGCCTCTGTGCTAGCCACTTTGGATGAGAAAATAATTCTGTGGCAGGACATGGTAGCACACACCTTTAATCCTAGCACTGGGGAGGCAGAGAGAGACAGGCAGATTTCTGTGAGTTCAACTAGTCTGGTCCATAAAACAAGTTACAGGCCAGCCAGGGCTACATAGTGAGACTGTCTTTAAATGAAGAGTAATTACAAAGACTTATAATATAGTTCATATTTTACTGTTACCAATAAATAAATTTGACTTTAAGAATAAGTTGATTCTTTTTGGAAGGAAAAAGAGAGTTCTGGGTTTCTCTTGCCTTTTCAAATCCTTGCAAGGAATGTTTGAAGGATCTGGCTTCAAGATTTTTTTTTTAACATTTTTTTATTAATTTATATTTTACATTCCAATCCCAGTTCCCCTCCCTCCTCTCCTCCTGCTCTCCCCACTTCCCTTTCCACCTCCCATCTGCTCCTCGGAGAGGGTAAGGCCTCCCCTAGGAAGTCTGCTAAGCTGCTAAGTCTGTCCCATCATCCTGTTGAGGCAGGACCAAGGCTGGCTTCAAGATTTAACTGGTTCTTGTTAGAGATGGCATGAGTAACTTCTCTGGACTCATTTAATGGAGTCAGATGGGTACGTGTTGCCTGCTGTGACCTATCCTAACTCAGAAAGTTATGATCTGAGTTGGCTGTGAATTAAGGGAAGAAGGAGAAGAGTCATAAGATGAATCACTTGGTTAGCATGTCTGCTTTTCTTCCTTTGAATTACCAGTTTGGGTTCTGTAAGGAATGAGATAAATAAGTCCAGAGGGCCTAAGGTTCTGGGAAAGAAAACATTCAGAGTCTAGACGTATTGGAGCACACCTTTAATCCTATCACTCAAGAGGTAGAAGAGGTGGGTCTCTGAGTTTGAGGTCAGAGGGTCTTCATAGCTGAGTTCCAAGCCAGCCAGAGATACACAGTAAGACCCTGTCTCCAAAAACAAACAAAACCAGCAAAAAAGATTAAGTTACTGTAGGCTAGAGAAAGTGAGTTGTGGTTCTCTTCTCTTTAAACCTTTGCCTATCAGAATTTAAGAGAAACCCAATTCTAACCACATTTTTTTTCCTGCTCTGATTTTTGTTTCCTCTTTGGTTGCTTTGTTACTAGATTGTGTTTCTTAAACATTTTTTTCATGTTAAGTTTTGTTAACATCTAAGAGATGGGATAACAAATCTGGTAGAGGAAGTGGGTCATGGCTAACAGTCATTCCATAATACTTCATGTCCTTTCAGTTTTCTCTGCTAGACTAGAAGCCAGCAAGCACTGCAGTCCTCCTGTCTGCACCCATTTGGAGCTGAGGTCACAGGCATTTGCTTGCTACTTGGGTGCCAGGACTTAAGTTCTAATCCTTATCTTTGCAGAACAAGCGCTCTTAACTGCTGAGCCATCTCTCCAGCCCTGAGTCTATGTAACTGATAGAAATGACAGTATATACACGTACACACCCTGGAAGTTGGAGTTTGCTGGTACTAAGTTTCTGGCATACTAAAATAAAGGAAAGTGTTTATGGGAATAAATGAGACAGGGATTCTTACAATAATACATAATCAATTATAAATTAATGATTCATTTTTGGGGAAAGGATTAATTTGGGGCTATATTAATTGATGAATATATCCTTGTAGCGAGGACAGAGCAAATCTGTATTAGCATAGAATTGCCCATCGAGATGTATTAGCAAGCTGGGTGGTGATACATGCTTTTAATCCCAGCACTCAGAAGGTAGAGACAGTTGGATCTTTGTTAGTTCCAGGACAGCCAGAGCTACACACAGAGAAACCCTATCTCAAAAAAAGAAAAAGATGCATTACCAAGTTAGCTTTTGGGTTTTGCTCCTAGAAACATACAAACCCATTTACTTTGAAGCACAGAGTTACATCAGAGAAGAGAGATGGGAAAAACAAAGGAGTTAAGCAAGAAGAATAAGGAGCTATCTTTGGACATAGCTCTTTCTAGCAGCCTATCTCCACTGAATCAAAGGCCTCATAAATGCTAAGTATGTGATCTACTACTCAGCTACTCCCAGACTTCCAAATCACCTTCCCTGTCCTCTTTTTCTTTTGTCTATGTAGAAGATCATTGCTGTCTTCAAACCCAAGAATGAAGAGCCATATGGGCAGCTTAACCCGAAGTGGACCAAGTGGCTGCAGAAGCTGTGTTGTCCATGCTGCTTTGGCCGTGACTGCCTTGTCCTCAACCAGGGCTATCTCTCGGAAGCAGGGGCTAGCTTGGTGGACCAAAAACTGGAACTCAACATTGTACCCCGTACAAAGGTCAGTGACCATTTCTGGGAACTTTAGTGCTTTGCTAAAGGTTTGCTGGGCCCTGATCTCTCTTAGTGGAATAGAGGGTCTAAGGAGGGCTTGTTTAAATCTGGGATACTCAGCCTTTGGGGGTGGGTGGTAGGGATAGGCTTACAGTTTGATCATCTGATAAAAGCTATTCACAGGACACATACTCATTTTATATATAATCTTAGGAAATCCACAGGTGCCTCATATACATTTATGGGCTTCTTGGTCTTTGTATTCCAGGCAATCGCAAGCTGGTTATAAACTTAGGTGCTTTTACTGCTCATTCACGTACACTTCTGGATCAAGATTTAGGTACACAGTTCTCAGTTTCTTTCTTTCCTTCCCTCTCTCTCTTTTCTTCTATTTTTTTTCTTAACTAAAAAAAAGTCTCTGAGTATGTGTGTCTGCATGTGTGTATGTGCTCACGTATGCAGGTGCCAACAAAGACCAGAAGGCGACACCGGATCCTCTGGAGCTGGAGTTATAGGTGGTCTGAGTCTCCTCATGTGGGTACTAGGAACTGAACTCCATTCTGCAAGAGCAGCAAATGCTCTTAACCACTGAGTCATGTCTCCAGCCCCTCTTTCTTTTTAGGGACAAGGTCTTTTCATGGTGCCCATATGTGTTCTAAACACAGTATCCTCATGTGATCCACCTGCTATAGCCTTCCAAGCACCTGAGTCTGTAGAGTGTGCCACCATTCCTGCCTTATGCTAGGCTCCGTAAAGAGAATTTGGTTGGGCAGAGATGGTTAGAGTGAAACGTCTGTCTCAGCTCCCTACAAAGGACTTGCCTGCCTTCATGCTGTGGACCCCTGGGGATTGTCTGAGTGTAGCAGAATAGAGGTTCTGGCCTGGGTATGTAGCCCAGTGCTAAAACACTTACCATATGCAAGGCCCAGGTTCAGTCCACAACACCACAAGGAAGGAAAAGGAATGGGAGGGAAGGGAAGGGGAGAGGAGGGAGGAGAAAGAAAGGACCAGTTCTGGACAAATTCACATGTAGTGTGGATTTACACATCCCTTGTATGTATTTTGTGACTTAGTTGAGATTCTGATAAAGAGTTGGAACCGTATTCCCCTTTCTTTGAAACAGTGCTTGAATACATACTTGATTTCATGTGACTTCAGGGAATTTACTGACACTAGTTTAAGAGCATCTTGTATGATAATTACTGCTTCAGAATCTGGTCCCTCACCTGAAATCCTCTGAGATCAGGCCCATCCTAGATCCTAGAAGCCCTTTACACATTCCCAGCTCACTGTTGTACACTTTCCTCCTTGCTAGGCAAACAGTACAGAGCCACAGCTATGTCCTGGCTTGCTCTGCTGATGCTTCCAAGGTGCAGTGCCTAAGGGTCTGAGGCGCGAGTTGGAATTCTACTCAGTATCTTTTTTTTCTTATTGGAGATAGGGGCTTGTTATGTAGCCCAGGCTGGCCTTAAACTTGTGATCTTCCTGCCTCAGCTTCCTGAGTGCTGAGATCATAGCAGTGGCCTCTTTAGCTTTTTGTTTGTGTGACCCATTGGCAAAGCAGTGACTCTTCTGGTGTATGTTCAGGGTCCTCCCTGTAAAACCAGAGCTAGACATAGTTATTATTTAATAGAGAGACTATCAAGATTACACAAGATAATCTATATAAAACACATAGCCTAGTGCATGGCATAATGTAAATACTCTATGCATCTTGTGATTTGTTTTTTAAAAAATCTTTAGTTTTTTGAGGATTACATAATTCTCAGTTTTCCCTTCCCTTGTATACTCCTCTTTGTTCTTTTTCAAATTCATGGCCTCTTTGTCTTTAATTATTTATATTTATGTTTGTTTGTTTTTTTTTTTTTTTTGGTGGGGGGGTTCTTAGACAGGCTTTTTCTGTGGCTTTGGAGGTTGTCCTGGAACTAGCTCTTGTAGACCAGGCTAGTCACAGAGATCCGACTGCCTCTGCCTCCCGAGTGCCGGGACTAAAGGCATGCGCCACTACCACCCGGCATGTTTGTGTATTTTTAAATATATAAAACGTGTTCAGAGGGCTGGAGAGATGGCTCAGAGGTTAAGAGCACTGACTGCTCTTCCAGAGGTCCTGAATTCAATTCCCAGCAACCACATGGTAGCTCACAACCATCCGTTATGAGATCTGGTGCCCTCTTCTGGTGTGCAGATATACATGGAAGCAGAATGTTGTATACATAATAAATAAATAAAATCTTAAATAAAAAAATAAAAACATGAGCCGGGCGTTGGTGACGCACACCTTTAATCCCAGCACTTGGGAGGCAGAGGCAGGCGGATCTCTGTGAGTTCGAGAGCCAGCCTGGGCTCCAAAGCTACACAGAGAAACCTTGTCTTGAAAAACCAAAAAAAAAAAAAAAAAAAAAAATTAAGTCTGTATGATATTTTAATATATGTTTTCGGGGCTGTCCATTTAGTATTGGATAACCAATTGGTGTGCTCTTCCCTGGGAAAGGCTGTTTTCTTTTTTTTAATTCATTTATTTTTTTACATTCCAATCCCAGTTCCCCCTCCCTTTTCTCCTCCCAATCCCTCTACCTCCCATCTGCCCCCTGGAGAGGATAAGGCCCTCCCCTTAGGAAGTCTACTAAGTCTGTCCCATCATCTTGTTGAGGCAGGCACCAAGGCACACCCTCCCACACACACACACCCTTGTTTCAAGGCTAAGCAAGGTATCTCCCCATATAGAATGGGCTCCACTAAGTCAGTTTGTGCATCAGTGTTAGATCTTGGACTCACTTCCAGTGGCCTCATATATTGTCCCAGTCACACCATTGCCACCTGTATTCAGGGAGTCTAGTTAAGTCTTAATGCAGGTTCCGCATTTGCCAGACCAGAGTCAATGATCTCTCACTAGCTCGGGCCAACTGATCCTGTGGGTTTCCCCATCATGGTCTTGACTCCTTTGTCCATATTATCACTCCTCCTTCACTTCGATTGTACTCCAGGCGTTTGGCCCATTGGTTAGTTGTGGATGTCTGCATCTGCTTCCTTCTGTTTCTGGAAGAGGGTTGTAGCTTCTCTGGGGTTGTGGATTGTAGGCTGGGTATGTTTTGCTATATGTCTGGTATCCACTGATGAGTGAGTACTTACTATATTTGTCTTTTTGGGTCTGCGTTACCTCACTCAGGATGGTTTTTTTAGTTCTGTCCATTTGGAAAGGCTGTTTTCTACTGCTCTCAGTATTCCTCAGTTGCCTATAGCTCTTTGTTCAGGGTTGAGGCCTCATGTTCTTTTCCCCTCTCCATGTTAGCATGTCTGGTTGCAGTGGTCTTATTCAGCTTATGTTTAGGCCACTTTGGTGAGACTTCATGGATGTCACTTGTGAGATTTCTAGAAGACATCTCACAGCAAGCTCCCTGTTCCTCTGGCTCTTCAGTCCTCCCACCCGATGTCTGTAAGAGTTGCCGTGTATGCAGATGTATTAGTTGGGACTATGCTCCACATCTCTGCATTTTGATTAGTTACAGTTTTCCATAACGGTCTGTTTGTGGCAAAGATAAGTTTGCTTGATGATGGGTCTTGCCGTGATTTTATAAGCTGTTTAATCATTAGGTACCCCTACAGCTCCCTCATTAGAGAGCATTAATGAGTTATGAGCATCTCCTGCATCAGTGTCAACAACACAAAAACACTTGTCTTCCATGAGGCTGAGAAGAGACAGAACTTGTAAGTTTAAATTCAGCTGCTGGAGAATGTAAGAGGAGTCTCTTCCCTTTGCTGCCTGCCCTATTCTTGTGGCAGGATTCTGTCCAGCTGATCAGAGCATCTGTCACTATGGAAACAGGGCCCATGTTGTAAAGGTGTTTCAAATAGTAAAGTTCTAGTTCTCAGTCACTGACTGTTTTGCTCCCTGTTCCTGTGAGGTAGTCAGAGTTTCATTAGTCATACAGGAAGAGTGGTATGCTGGGACAAAGAGCTGCAAATGAACCTGACAGCAGGGAAGAGAAGCTTTACAGCTTGAACAAGCCAGGGGTGGGGAGTGGAAACTGGAAAAAAAAGTTGCTTTTTTTTTTTTTTTTTTTTTTTTTTTTTAAAATAGGGTTTTAGGATTTCTTTGTGTAACAGCTCTGGCTATCCTGGAACTCTCTTTGTAGACCAGGCTGACCTTAAACTCACAGAGATCCACCTGTTTCTGCTTACTGAGTGCTGGGATTAAAGGCCTGTGCCACCAACACCTGGTGGAAAATAGCTTTAAGAAAGCACTTTTCCCCCCTTTTCTTTCTACATTTATTTATTATGCATAGTAGAGAGCACATATGCCAAGGCTCACGCGTGGAAGTCAGAGGACAACTTCTGGGAATTGATGTTCTCTTTCCACAGTTACAGGTTCTGGGGACCAGATTTAGGTTGTTAGACTTGATAGCAAGAACCCTTACCATCTCAGGAGCCCTTTTCTTTGTGCTCTTTTCTCCCCTCTCCTCTCCTTTTCTCCTTCCCTTCCCCTTCCCTCTCTTCCTCTCCCCTTCCCTCTTTTATTTTCTTTCCTCACCTTCCCCATTTGAGATCAGGTCTCACTCTATAGCTCATTCTGGCCAGGAACTGTGTAGACCAGGCTGGCTTCAACCTTGTGTGGGACTTCCTGCCTTTGCCTCTTAAATGCTGAGATCACAGACATGTATTTCCATGCCCAAGTCATTCATATCACAGAGATATGAGATGGTTAATATGGTATGGCTCTGTCATCTCAGAGCCCTTCATTTACAGCTTCACAGATAGGGAAATAAGAACTGAAAAAAGTTGTGGGAGATTCTAGAGGCCAGGCTCAGTAGTAATGTATATACATCATTTTATCAACTTGTTATCCCAAGTTAGCCATATTGACTACCCTGAAACATAAGACCGAGAAATGCTTTCTCTTCCCTAGAAGAGAAACAGTATTACTGATCATCCAGCTGTTCTCTGCAGCAGTGGTCTTTCTTAAACTTACTCTAACCTAACTCTTTTCTCTTTCCCCTGTAGGTAGTATACCTGGCCAGTGAAACCTTCAACTACAGTGCCATTGACCGAGTAAAGTCCAGGGGCAAGCGGCTTGCACTAGAGAAAGTGCCAAAAGTTGGGCAGCGGTTTAACCGAATTGGGTTACCACCAAAGGTATAGTTTGTCCCTATATAACTTAACAAAGTTGATAGTCTAAGGTGGCATAATCACTCAAGAGGGGAGAACAGGTACCTACAGACTTGAATTGGGCATGTGAAAGAACTCCTTCTTGTCTTTCTCACTTCTGTCAGAGATCTCAGGGTGGGCAATAGCTCTGCAGGGAATGTGACCTAAGAGTCAATCCTCACTGTATCCCTTTAGAGTCCAGACCATTTGGATGGGCTTCTTCAGCTTGGGCTGGTGACCTCTCTCACTCCATTTCACCTGTCTTTACAAGGAAATGAAAGCGTGACACTTGCAGAAACTTCCTTTTCTTTGGTGTGAACTCCATGGGACCGTTGTGGGTCTCCAGCTTACTCCTGGGGTCTTTAACTTGGGCTCTACAGATACGATTTTGTTCCTTCCATTGGGTTGTAGGTTGGGTCATTCCAGCTCTTTGTTGAAGGCTACAAAGATGCAGACTATTGGCTGCGGCGTTTTGAAGCAGAACCTCTCCCTGAGAACACTAACCGACAACTACTGTTGCAGTTTGAGCGGTTGGTTGTGCTGGACTACATCATCCGCAACACTGGTGAGCAGCCAGGCATGCTCCATGCTTTGTGCCAGACTTCTGAGGGCTGGGATGGGCCTGGAGGTCTGTAGGAACCGTACTCAGTACCTTGTGAAGATGGTGTTTCCTGTGTCCAAATGGACATGCACGTTTAAAGAGGGCCTGGCAGACCAATTTTCTGGGTTAAATTTTGTTCAGATGTAGCATCTTCAAGTTACTAGAGGTTGTGAGGCCTGGGGTCAGGATTTACTTGGCTTTTCCAAAGCACTGTGAAAAGTGCATTCATTCTTGATTCCTAGTCATTCTTAGAGATTGAATAAGGCAGTATTATCTTTTTATGACTTTTTAAAAAAGATTCTTCGATTGATGTTTTTAAAAAGGGTTTCTCTATGTATCCCTGGCTGTTCTGGGACTCTGTGTAAACCAGGCTGGCCTTGAACTCATAGAGATCCACCTGCCTTTGTGTTGCCAAGTGCTGGGATTATAGACCAGGCTGGTCTCAAACTCACAGAGATCCTCCTGCCTCTGGTTCCCAAGTGCTGGGATTAAAGGCATGCGCCACAACCGCCTGGCGATTTATTGTCTTAATATGCTGGTGAACTGAACTCATCAGACCTGACCAAGTCTACATGTAGGAGGGAGGTTTTGATTACTAATCTATCTCCTTAGGAGATTTTCTGATCTTTGTGGTTTAATCATGACAGGTTTTGTGTGTCTAGAACTTTTTCCACATCATCTAGAACATTGAGTTTGTTGTCATAAAATTGTTCTTAGTGTTAAATTCTTTTTATTTTTATAGAATTATTGGGTAATATTTGTGCTTTCATTTTTGAGCCCCCCTCCCCCATCTCCCTTCCCCCCCCCCCATTCCATTTAGCTTGCTTGCTTGTGTGTTTTGGGTTTTTGAGATAGGGTTTCACCATGTGACTCTGGCTGTCCTGGAATTCTCTGTGTGACTAGGTTGGTCTCAGTCTCACCAAGATCCTCTGCATGTGCCCCCTGAGTGGCATGACTCAGGGCATGTTCCACTACTGGTGGTCTTAAAGACCGGCTTTCGGTGTCACTGTTTTTCTACTGTTTGTTGATTCTCTGCTCAGTGTACTTTTTTGTTGTTGTTATTTAAGATTTTATTTATTTATTATGTATACAACATTCTTGCCATGTATATCTGAAAACCAGAATAGGGCACCAGATCTCATAACGGATGGTTGTGAGCCACCATGTGGTTGCTGGGAATTGAACTCAGGACCTCTGGAAGAGCAGCCAGTGCTCTTAACCTCTGAGGCATCTCTCCAGCCCCTGTTCAGTGTACTTCTGCCCCAGTGTTGTATCCTTCTTTCTGGTTCTTTCTACTTCTGCAAGAGATAAAGTGAAGCTGTTGATTTGTAAGCTTTCTCATTTTGCAGTATAAGCATTTATAGCTATAAATCTACCACTAAATACTCTGCTGTTATGTCGTGTACATTTTGGTAAGGTATATATTTGTTTCCATTGTTTCTTAAGCTTTTCTTAGTTACCCTTGTGATTTCTTCTTTCATCCATTGGTTATCCAATTTTGTAAATTTTCTATTTTCCTTTTCTTTGGAGGGGGACTGGGCAAGGTTACACCTTGTAGCCCAAGGTGTTCTGGAACTTGCTGTGTAGCTCAGGCTAGTCTAGAACTCATTGTACTATTTCTTCATTCCTGGAATGCAGGCATGAGCTGCTGTGCCCAGCTTTCTGGTTTTCTATTTGCTATTGCTTGGTCACTATTTCATAGTTTTCTTTTATGTATAGCTGTGCTTCCCGTTGTTTCTGTTACCCATGGTTAACTGCTCTGAAAATATTAAATAAGAAGGTCCAGAAATAGGTAGGTCACCGCAGAGTGACCTGTCTGTCAGTCAGTTTTAGTGATCTCAGCTGGTCCCTCAGCTATTGCCATAAGAAGCCCTTATTTTGCTAAATAGTAGGTCCTAAATACAACACTGAAAACTGGGACACAACCAAAGAAAAGCTGTAAAGTATTTCCTTAAGTGAAAAGGTAACTTTATCAGAGTATGTCTGTAAGGGAGAGGGGAAGTCTGTGTGGTTTGGCAGTATCTTCAGGCATTCACCAGGAGTCTTGAAACACACCCTTTTGGTTAGGGGGAGCTGTACTTTGACAGTTACCTATTTTTTCAGAATCTATTGACAGTGGGTGGCTTCATATCTGACTGTCTTGGAAAATGTCTCATGTACAGTGAGAAACAAGTGTAAGAGGAAGAGAGTTCTGTTTGCATATTTTTCTGTTAGACCTTGCCTAACAGGGCTGGATTCTTGGATTCTTCTATGCACACCCTTTGAAGAATAATTAAATAATTAAAGTAAGAAAAGGAAGCCAGAACACAAGGGATGTATACAAACACTGAAATTAGAAAATCAGGCACAGGCTGGACATGGCTTGGCATATGCCTGAAATCCCAGCTTCTGGAAGGCAGGGGCAGATAGATCTCTGAGTTCAAGGCCAGCCTAGTCTACAGAGTGAGTTCCAGGATGACCAGCACTACATAGAAACCCTATTTTGAAAAACCAAATAAATGAACAAATAATAGGCAGATCTTTGTCTCTATTTAGTTATTGTGCTATGATGTTTTTTAAAAAAAATCACTGCATGGTGTCTTATAAAACATTATTCAAGTGTCATATTACCTACATTGTCTCATGGAAAAAGTAGTTTTTGTTTTGTTTTAAAACAGGGTCTCACTGATATCAAACTCAGAGATCTGCCTGCCTCTTCCTCCTTAGTGCTGGGGCTAAAGGTATGCACCACTGCACCTCACAGAAGTCCATCTGGTAAAATGATCTAAACACCCACAGAAGTTCATCTGTTAAAATGATCTAAATGTGGTCAACATACTGCATTTGGTTATTGTATTCTATAGTGCCTTTAATTTTGAAAAAGCTCCACTAGTCTCCCTTTTTTTTTTTTTTTAAGATTTATTTATTTATTATGTGCACAGTGTTCTGCTTGCATGTATGTCTGCAGATCAGAAGAGGGCACAAGATTGCCATCTCTCCAGCCCCAGTCTCCCATTTTTTAATCTGTTGAGGCAATTGGGTATTTGTCCTGTAGAATCTTCATATTGTCAGATGGAGTATGCTCCATTCCCCATGTTTCTTTCAGATTGATGTTAGGTCTAAAGACTTGGTAAAATTCAGGTTTGAGTTTTTTGTTTGTTTGCTTTTGTTTTCCCCAGGGTGGGGTTTCTCTGTGTGGCTTTGAACTCAAAGAGGTCTGCCTGCCTCTGCCTCCTAGGGCTGGGGTTAAAAGTGTGTGCTACTACCACTAGCCTCAGGTTTGAATTTTTAATAAACTTTATTTTGTCATAATTTTAGGTTAACAGAATAGTATTAAAAAATTTCCATGAAGCTCGGCAGTGGTGGTTCATGCCTTTAATCCCAGCACTTGGGGGCAGGTGGATCTCAGTGAGTTCAAGGCCAGCCTGGTCTACAAAGCAAGTTCCAGAACAGACTGTTACACAGAGAAACCCTGTCTCAAAAAAAAGAAAAAAAAAATTCCCATGGGGCTGGGATTAGTGGTTCAACCCTCTAATCCTAGCACTTGGAAGGCTGAAGCTGAGGGCTGCAAGTTCAAGGTTAGCATGAGGGAGGTAGGATGCTGTCTTAAAAAATAAAATAATTCTTAGGCCAGCAAGATGACTCAGTGGGTAAAGGCACTTGCTGCTATGACAATCTGAGTTTGATCCCCAGGACCTACGTGTTAAATGAAGGAATTGACTGTTGCAAGTTGTCCTCTGCCCTCCGTATGTGTGACCCCCTTACCTGATTTTTAAAACATAATTAAAAAAAAAAAAAAAAAAAACTTTAAATCTGGACAGTGTTGGCCCACATCTTTATTCCCAGCCCCAGGAAGCAGAGGCAGGTAGATCTCTGTGAGTTTGAGACCAGTCTGGTCTATAGGCGAGTTCCAGGACACCCAGAACTACACAGAGGGGGGGAAAAACCGTCTTGAAAAACAAAACAAATCAAAAGCAAAACTTTTTGAGACTCACTGGGTCCCCCATGCAGCCTTGGCTGGTCTGGAGCTTGCTGTGTAAACCAGGCTGATATCAAACTTACAGAGATTTGCCTGCCTCTGACTCCCCAATGCTGGGATTCCTGTGTGGTTTGAAGTACAGTTTGTAGGTCAGTGGCAGAGTATTTGCTTAGCATATACAAGGCCCCAGGTTCAATATCCAGCAGAAGAACTCCTCTCTGAATCTTAATAGTTTCTCATATCTGCTCTACCGTTCTCTGTCCTCATATGTGTTTTCATTAGTGGTCATGAACACATTTTCATTACATTGATTTATTTTTGGGGTGAGGGAGTCATGTGTGCCATGGCACATGTGTGGAGGTAAAAGGACAATTTCAAGAGTCGGTTTTTATATTCTGCCCTGTTTGTACTGGGGGTTGAATTCACGTGGCAGGCACCTTACCTGGTGAGCTGTTTTGCTGCTACTCACCGGTACCGTGGACCATACATATTTTTTCTTGAACCATCTTAAATTAAAGATATATTGCCTCTTTATCCCTAAGTATTTCCTAAATACAAGGATATTCTTTTATATAACAAAAGTACAGCTGTACACACTTAGGAGTGCTATTATCTGATTGATATGTTGAATTCATTTGGTTTCTTTATAATATCTTCATTGTGAAATAAAGTTCTGGATCTTAGCCATGTAGCATAGGACTGTAGTCTCAGCACTGGCGAGGTGGAGGCAGGGGGATATCCTTGACTATGTAGCCAGTTGGAGGCCAGTGGTGGGCCATAGGCAAGACTTCTGGACCACTAGTTATGTCTTGTTGTCATCTCTTATTCATCCTTCAGTCTGGTAGCATTCTCAGTCTAGCGTGACATTGCCATTTTGGAAGAATGTGATTTGGAAGGCTTTTACTTGTGTGTTTTAGAACACTGTTGAGCTTAGTGTATTTGTTTCCTCCTGATTAGCTTAAGTTAAGCATGTTTTGGCAGGAGTGTAACAGAAGTGGTATTATGTTCTTAGAGCAACATCAGGAAAGTGCGCGCGCGCACACACACACACACACACACACACACACACACACAGAGAGAGAGAGAGAGAGAGAGAGAGAGAGAGAGAGTACTCCATTATTGATGCTAATTTTGGTGACTTGACTATCTCTTGGATTTTCTTTGATGTATACTATTTACTCATAGTTGGTGTGAGAACATCTCTTTCCATAGGTGGTAGAAGATAGAACATAGTAGACACAAGTTCAGGTTACTGCTCTCATGTCTTTAAGTAAAGGGTCTTGGGCCCTAGTCCCAGCTCCTTTTTCTGTCTGATCCCAACCATCATGAGGTAAGCACCCTCTTTCACCATATCCTTCTGTGTTCTGCTTCCCTCAGACACAAAGGCAACAGGGCTGGGTGACTATGGGCTGAAACCATGAGCCAAACGAAATGTTTCCTCTCCAGAAGCTGACATCTTTCCCAAGTATTTTGTCACAGGCACAGACTTATTCTTGTTTGTCTGCTGAGACAGTCTCTTTATGTAGCCCTGGCTGTCCCAGCACTTAGTGCACCAGGCTGGCCCCAAACTCACAGAGGTCCACCTCTCTACTTGAGGGCTGGGACTAAAGGTATGCAGCACCCAGCCATGTAATATTTGTTTATTTATTTATTGTCCTTATTTATTTTGATGCTCAAATTGTCCCTGATTTGGTCAGCACTCATGTGCTCTTTTGTATATGTTATAAACACTTCCTTAATTTCTGGCACAGGATATTCTGGGTTCATCTTCTAGTCTCAAGCTCCGATATTCCTCTTACTGGAAGAGAGTGTATTTATAGCTATGAGAATTTATGAGTTCATATGAATACCTGCATTTTCATTCAGACACAGGCTCATTTTAGCAGCCTTTCTGTTTAATTTATAATTCCTTTCCTGATACAGATCAGGCTGGCATTCAACTATGTACAGTACAATAAATCCAGAAAAATGATAATAAATTTACTTATTTGTTTAATCCTAGACAACACAGAAAGTAGTTTCAGAATTGCTACAGGGAGGAAAAAAATATGAGGTAGATAATGAAATTTTGTGAAATCATTAACTTTTCCTCAGATTGTAGAATTATCCAGTATTATTGTTTCCTCATCCCCCTTTTCTCCTCCTCTTTGCCTCCTTTTCTACACCCCCCCCCATTCCTTTCTTCCTCCTACTGTTTATGTTCGCTCTTCCTGCCTCAGGCCTCACTAATGTCTGGCTTGTGACACTACACCCAACTACAAGAATATTTTGCCCACCTGCAAGGATATTTTATTCATAATGTGGGTTTATCTTTTAAAAATATGGTTTACCAGGGCTGGAGAGATGGCTTCATGGTTAAGAACACTAGCTGGTCTTCCAGAGGTCCCGAGTCAATTCTCAGCAACCACATGATGGCTCATAACCATTTGTAATGAGATCTGGTGCCCTTTCCTGGCCTACAGGGACACATGCAGATAATACACTATATATACTAAATAAATAAATCTTTAAAAAAAATATGGCTTACTGCCAGGAGGTGGCGGCGGCACAAGCCATTAAATCTCAACACTCAGAGGCAGGCAGATCTCTGTGAGTTCCAGGCCAGCCTGGTCTACAGAGCGAGTTCCAGCACAGCCAGGACTACACAGAGGAACCCTATCTGGGACCCCCTATCCCCCCCCCCAAAAAAAAGCTTACCAGACTCAGTTATTTTCATTTTGACCAATCTTTTTGTTTGTTTTGGGTGTGTATATGTGTGGGTGGCCTTTTCATAGCATAGCCCAGACTGGTTTGCTGTGAACTCATGATCTTTCTGCCTCAGTTTCCTGACTGACCCTCCTTCTCTTCCTCTTTTGTTGTTGTTTTGAGACAGTGTCTCACTTTGTAGCTCCAACAATCCTGGAACTTGCCATGTAAACAAGGCTAGGATTTGAAGAGATCTACCTCCCTGTATTCTTAGTGTTAGGATTAAGATGTGCTCAAAGACTGTACTTTCAGGGATCATGTCTGTAGTTCATTACTAAAAATGTACTCTACCAACCTGTGTAGCTTGAGTTCTGAGTCCCATGATTGTGATTTTTTTCAGTTCTCAAATTGCTTCTTGGTTCTTTTTTTATATTATTTTTTCTTGTTTTCTGCTGATATTTGTCTTGCTTTTAATCTTACTTTTTAAAATCTTTTTTAATCCCTGGTGTTTTTGAGGCAGAGTCTTACTTAGCCCAGGCCGACCTTGAACTCCTAATCTTCCTGCCTCCCTCTGTGTGCTGGCATTGTAGGCATGTACCACCTGACTATGCCTTTTATCTTCTTGAAGAAAATAAATATTTTACTTGGACATTAAAAAGTATATGTCAGATGTCTCCCTTGCTTGGCAGCTCTCTATTGTCATTTCTGTTTTTATTGTGTCATTTTTTGTCTTTGTGCACTTGGTCAGTCTGCTTGTCAGATAATCAGAAGCTATAAAACTCTTAGAAAGTTTCAGGTCTGGGGTATGACAGTTATGTAGGGCCAGCCCCTAAGCCACTAGCAGCCCAGGGTCACCTTAGCCTCAGGTATTGAAGAGAAGCTTGACTTGCTCCCAAGATGGCCTGCAAGTTTTGGCTCTCTAGAGCCACAAGGCTATGAGTAAGAACACAGTCCCACTTCCCAGTCTTCTGGTTATCTCTTTCCAAATCAGTCAGTAGGGGACAGAAGCCACAAGGGCTGGGTCCTTCCTGTGTCCTTTTTGTCTCCTGGACCCAGCCTTCCGTCTCTTTCTTCCTTCCCTCCAAGACAGTCTTACAGTGAATAAGTAAATAAGTAGGCTGGCCTTAAATTTAAGATTCTGTTGCCGCAGCCTCCTGAGTACTGGGATTTTGACTCCAAATTTTTATAATCTTGTTAAAATCACCAATGCCTTCCAGGGATTTTAAAATGTTTTATCTGCCCTGTAGTTAACTGGTCTCAGTTTGAGGGGTGGTCCAAGTATCCCAAATGCTTAATCCATCATTTTTTTTAAAAGATTTATTTATTTATTATGTGTACAGTGTTCTGCTTGCATGTTGTCTGCATGCCAGAGGAGGGCACCAGATCTCATTACAGATGGTTGTGAGCCACCATGTGGTTGCTGGGAATTGAACTCAGGACCTTTGGAAGAACAAGCAGTGCTCTTAACCTCTGAGCCATCTCTCCGACCCCTTAATCCATCGTTTCTAAAATAAGACTGTAAGATTAATGTCTCTTTATTCCAGAAGACACCAAGGTAAAACACAGGCCAGAGCTAGGTTATAGAACCCAGCCAGCTCGGCCAGAACAAAAGGGCCAGCCTCCCCGCGTGCAGCCCCTTAAGAAGCTCCCTTACGTCACCCCGGCTTTCCTTCACCATGCCCTTCTGGGCGAGTCCCCGGGTCCACCTGGTACCTGCCCCAGGACTATTGGGCGGGGCTAGGGTGACTCCCTACATAAGACAGGTTATTTCTGCTAACTTTATGTTTCCATTTGCAGACCGAGGCAATGACAACTGGCTGATTAAATATGACTGCCCAATGGATAATTCTAGCTGCCGGGTAAGAGGTTGGTCTGTATCTCAAAGAGGAGGATGGGGAGGAGTAATTCTTAAACAGTAGAAACTCAGAATAGAGATTTAGGTCACAAAAGTTCACAAGAGTCAGAGAAACACAGGGGTTTAAAGTTAATACTTGGTGTAGTGTTTTCAATGTGTTTTAGGGACCATCCTGCTGGGTAATAGTAGTTGGAATAGCATCAAGAAAAGGAGTAGCACACTGCATACTCTTTCCTGTAGCTTCACACTGCACCATAGTGTAGTAAAGGTTGGAAAGTATTATATTAAGTAAATCTTCCTAATGCTGTCTAGCCCCATGGCTCCTACCCTTTTAAGCCATGGGGTTCTTTTTCTACAGAGGACTCTCACTCCACAAGTTTGGAAAAAGCTGCTTCAAAGCCTTTTTTCTTTTTAAGATTCATTTCATGTGTATGACCTACACATGTCTGTGCACCACATGTGTGCCTGGTGCCTACAGAGGCCAGAAGAGTACATATGATCTGTAGATGGCTGTGTGCCATCATGTAGGTGCTGGGGATCAAACCTGTGTCCTCTGGAAAAGCAGCCATTGTTCTTTACCTCAGCCTCAACTCCCTTCCTTTTCTTTTCTTTTCTTTTCTTTTCTTTTCTTTTCTTTTCTTTTCTTTCTTGTTTGTTTCTCTGTGTGTCCCTGGCTGTTCTGGAATTTGCTCTGTAGGCCAGGCCAGCCTTGGACTCAACAGAGATCCACCTGCCTCTGCCTCCAGAATACTGGGATTAAAAGTGTGCACCACCACCCCCACCACTACCCAACTTGTCCTTTTCATTTTTATGTATCACTGAGGCCTGGCTACCTTGTATGGAAGCCAGGTGAGCCACCTGCTATCTTGATTCCGTTTTCTCTCAGGAAAATGGGGACTTTGTCATTACCAGGAAGTCATATCTGAGCTAAGGTCCTCACTAAAAGACCTTGGCCAGCTGATAACAGATTTTTCTTTCCTTCTATTCTCAAGTTTCTCATTATTTTACCTCAGAGTGATTTGCAACTATCTTTGTTTTTATCAGTGTCCTTCTTACTAAGGATAGCTTACTAAGGCAAGCAAATGTTCATGTCTCATGAAGAGCAAGGGCCTCTAGCAGTGTATATGATACACAGCTGTAACACCAGCACTCAGGAGGTAGAGAACCAGCCTGAACAATCTAGTAAGAACCTTGTCTGTGGGAGTCAGGCATGGGCTAAGAGGGAGACGCTCCTGAGAACTTTGCTATGAGTGAAGCAGGTGCCACCAATAAACCAAGTCCGGAAGACAGTATGAAAACCAGTAGAGGTTAGATCTAAGTAAGCTGAAGGAAGGGCTGAGATGAGGTGTCTTGTTACTGTTTCATTGGGTTTTTTGAGGCAGGGTTTCTCTGTGTAGCCCTGGCTGTCCTGGAACTCACTGTGTTGATCAGGCTAGCTTTGAACTCACAGAGGTCCTCCTGCCTCTGCCTCTGCCTCTGAGTGCTAGGATTGAAGATGTAAACCATTCCCTTTCCCCCTTCCTGCTGCTATTTTAAAGGGCCTGAGCAAGTCTCTCTTTTTTCTATAGGACACAGATTGGGTGGTGGTGAAGGAACCTGTCATCAAGGTGGCTGCCATAGACAATGGGCTAGCTTTCCCACTGAAGCACCCTGACTCCTGGAGGGCATGTAAGTTAAGAGCAGTGGGCTGTGCTCTGGGTCATTGCTACAGTAGGATTGATCTAAGAATTAATGAAATACTGTAGCTTCAGGCCTTTTACTCAGTGGCCAGCAGCATATGGCAACTGTTCCATATTATAAACTATTAGAATTTTTACCACTTATTATTTCTACTGGAGTAATGGGTAGAGAGAGTAGAAACATATGGGCTGTGTGTGTGTGTGTGTGTGTGTGTGTGTGTGTGTGTGTGTGTTTGCGCGCGTGCAATGTATAATTGTATGTATAAGGCCCCTGGTTTCCATCCCAATTTCTGCAAAGTAAATAACTAAGTATAAAGGTGAGTTTTCTCATTTCCTCTTTGCATCCTTTCCCCCCCTCAAGACAGGGTTTCTCTGTGTAGCCCTGCCTATCCTGGAACTCATTATGTAGACCATGCTGGCCTCAAACTCACAGAGATCTACCTGCTTCTGTTTCTCCCAGTGCTGGGATTAAAGGTGTGCACCACCACTGCCCCAGCCACTTTGCATTCTTAAACTCATCTTTTCATAAGTTATTTCATTTGGGTCTCTGCAGATAAATTGCTGTCAGTGTCCTGTTTTCCTTGGTGTACTCCACACCCCATTTTAACTGAGAATCTGTGGAAAGGAAAAGAAATGCCAGTAGGGCATCACCAGCTCCTTCTGCAGCACCAGCCATCATTTTCAGGATCATCTGAAAGTCCAGCAAGTAGTTACATCTAGATAGGCCTGTTTGTTGGAGGTCACATGCCACCCAGGAAAAAGGTCTGAGATGAGGCAGCTCTGGGTGTGGCTCTTGAGTCCTGTGCTTATTAGTCAGGCAGTCTTAGGGTCAGCAGCACTGGTGAAAATGGATTTTGTTGATTTTCTGTGTGTATCAGGGAAGAGTTGTTTTCTCCTTGGCAGACCCAGGATGTGGGAGGTTTCTAGCATCAGCTTTGCTTTGAGCCTTTTCTCTTTTCAGATCCTTTTTACTGGGCCTGGTTGCCCCAGGCAAAAGTCCCATTCTCTCAGGAGATCAAAGAGTTGATTCTTCCCAAGATCTCAGACCCTAACTTCGTCAAGGATTTGGAAGAGGACCTATATGAACTCTTCAAGGTCAGCCCCCAGGAGAAAGGCATTCTCCGTGATTTGTCTAATTAGTCCAGAATAAGCCAAGAAAGATACTGTGTCACACTTGTCTGACTTGAGTTAGCCAGAAGAGCAGGGTTACTATACACCTGCTGAAGCTGGTTTGCAGGAATTAAAAGAAATGGCAGCCCTGGTGTTAGGATGATGTAACCCGGTTTTAGAGTGCTTACTTAGCATACAGAAAGCCCTGGGTTCCATCCCCAGCACCACCTAGATCCTGTATGGTGTAGCACTTAGCAGTGGGAGGCAGAAGGATCTAAAGTGCAGGATCCTAAGGGGCAGGAGATACTCTAGTTAATTCCCAGCCCACTGCTTTCTTGCAAAGTACTTAATAAACTACTCCTGAAAACTTAAGTGGGGGAGAAAAACTAGGTTCTTGGGAAGCATTCACATGGGTTCCATTATCTTCCTCTACCCTTCTCTTACAGAAAGATCCTGGTTTCGACAGGGGCCAGTTCCATAAGCAGATTGCTGTTATGAGGGGCCAGGTAAGCCTGGGACTTCAAGTGTATGCCCTTGTATTTGTGACTCTGCCCTAAAATACAGGAGAGGAAAGGTAGCCTGCAATCAATCCCCTTCCTCTTCATAGTGTTGATACCCAGTCAGTGTCTGCTGCTGCACTCCCTGCGTGTTTAGCTCTATACTAGATGCCGGGTGCATTATTGGTAAATAAACCAGCACACTATGACCTTGAGCTGCTCAAGGTTGCATGCCTCAATTGCTGAGAACTGGTTCTGTGATGCTAGGTAGGAGTCTAAATTTTCTTATTTATAAAATAGGGTAGTAACTGTACCTTGCTTTGTTGTGGACAAGTGCATTAGAGAATTCATGGTGAGCACTGAGAAACAGTGTTGCCTGGCACATGGTAAGTATGCTGATACTCGTATGGTTACAGTTTAATTGTTTGAGTTACAAGTTGTGTTATTCTCCCTTTCAACTTCATCTTCAGAGGGAGCTGCAGAAACTGGGCATTGTCAGAGACCAGTCTGTTCTACATAGTGAATTCCAGGGCAGCCAGGACTATGTAGTTAGATCCTATCTCAGAACAAAACAAAACCATAGGATATTGGTGTCGTATTACTTAAAGAAAGCTCAGGGGCTGGAGAGGTGGCTCAGCCTTTAAAGGCTATGCTCACAAACAAAAATATAAGAAAGCTCAGCAGTGAAGGATACAAACTGATCAGAGTATCTGGGTCTGAAGCCTGGAGCTCCCATTTACTATGAGATCCAAATGTCCTCTTCCCCACATTTTTCTCTTTGTATTATGTACTTACTTCACAGGTTATATATTTGTTTGAAATTGTTGGGAGTAAAGCCTGATGCACAAAAGTACTCAACACATAATAGCTAATTACAATTTTGGAAATAGAAAAGTCAGCTTCTTGAATCTTTTTCTTCTTTGAGATTGGTTGTTGTGTGGCCCAGGCTGGTCCTAAAGTTACTGTGTAATCCAGAGTGACCAGGAGCCCTTGATTCTCCTGCCTCCATTTCCCAAGTGCTAGGATTGCAAGCATGTAGCTCTAATTATCTGACTAATTTTAGTCTTCAAAGAATGTAATAGTCTTTCCACAATGAGTTACTTCTTTGTATCATTTAGCTAAAGGCTCCCAAAGAAAGCACCTTTGGGCTTGCTGAGCACATTTTCCTTGGAAATGGGATAGTCAAGAAGTTTTGTTTTTTTGTTTTTTTTTTTTTACTTTTATTGATTCTTTGTTGATTTCACATCATGCATTCCCATCCCACTTATCTCCTTGTCTCCTCACGTCTGCCCTCTGTCCTTGTTGTAACCTCTCCCCAAAAAAGTTCAAAAGAAAAAAAGAAAACCTAAAACCAAATAAACAAGAGAGAGGGGAGGGAGCGTGTGGAAGCTGTAGTGTGGCCGGTAAAGTCACAAAGTATATCCTTTGGTCCACTCATTTTTACTTGCAAGTGTTCATTGCCCTGAGTCATTGGTCTGTCCCGAGGACTCTGGCTTCTGCTACACCACTGACAATGGCTCTCACTGGGACTCCTCTTGGATATCCTGTTGCTGTCCTGCAGTTTTGAATATGTATGTTTGTACTCTTCACATGCCCCAGCAGTTCATAGATGAGGTGAATGTTGGCGAGGGCTAACTCAGCCTTGCTTCTGGGCCTGGGTGGCAGCTGGGCTGGTCAGCCTGCCAGCTTTCCCTCATTGTCACTACCTGGGTGAGTGCTCCAGTACTGCCTCAGCTAGCTCACCCAAAGCAGCCTGCAGCAAGGAGTGGGGCTAGTTCTCCTGCTCTCAGGTCCTCAGATCTGGGCCACCCACACTCACACTGCTAATTTACCCAGGTGAGGTAGAAGGCCCTCTCTCCTGACTGCTGTAGGGGATACATGTGGGTGGGTGGGTGCTGGGAGGTGTTCAGCTCTCATGCCCTCAGGGCTGACTCATCTATGCACCCGGATAGTCATGACATTTTAAGAGCTGCCGTTTTAGTAATACTTCTGAATATCAGTATTCTGTCTTTCTCAAGTAAAACAAGGGCCCAGATAGACTGGCATAACTTTTGGAAACCTTGAAAGCTATATTGTAGATTCTGCTATTACAGGCCTTAACGTAAAGGAGCTGGCTTGCTTCCTAAGATGATATAGGTGGCACCTCATCCATTTCAGACCATCTTCTCCAACCCTTTCTCATCTCAGTCCCTTGCCAATACTGTAGCAGCCTTTACATTACACCCAGTTAGGGTCATCATCTAGGGTAGCAAAAGGTCTGGAGAATGGCAGGTGAGATTTCATCTTTCTACCTTGTGTTCTTAATGTTTTTGGAACAGCTTTTGCCTGTTAAAACTGTTGGCAGAAAAGAGCACCAGGCTATGATACATAAGCAAAGGAAGCATTGGTTCGAACAATAGGAATTGCAGTTTGATTGCTTACCCAGGGCAGACCTACAGTGTGTCTGGAAAGGACAGTGGAGAAGAAACTTGCAGGGAACCTAGAAAAGTAATCTGACCTTGTGTCACTTGTTCTGAAACTTTTTGGATCTGTTGATGGGCTGTGGGTAAATAATCATAGGGTAGGACTGTGCCCTGGCCTCCTGACTCAGAATCATTGTTTGCTTAGTTGTACACACTCAGCCGGTTGACCCACTTTTTAAAATGACAAGGCACTCGACCTTTTCGAGGCTGAGGTAGGAGAGGCTTAGCTGAAGAGCACCTGCCGGGTCGTATGAAGCTCGCTTGGGTTTGGTCCCCAGCACCACACATTATAAAGGGGAGGAGGTCTCAGTGTCAAAGACCTTGAGAGGGAGCTTTATTTTCAGTTTACCTATGTAATTATTCCACATTTCAGCCCCACATCCATGCAGCCTTGTTTCTTTGAATTCTTCCTTCTGGGTCATATTTTCTGTTTTATGGCGTTAAAGGGCAAAAAAGTATTTGCTTTTCATTGGGGTTCTACTTCTTTGTTTGCTTATTTGTTTTAAGGCCCATAATGCCCAATTGGGTCTCAGATTCCTGGCCCTCAAGCAACCTTCCTGCTTTCCCTTCCCTTCTGAAGTCGGAACTGTAGGCAAACACAGTGTTTTAAAAAACTGTTGGTGAGGTTATGTCTACTGTCCATGCATTGCCCATTTGTATACCTACCTCCTCCTAATTGTTTTAGGGTTATTTAATTTTATTGTATGGGCGTTTTGCTTGTATGTATATCTGCACCCCACTTGTGTGACTGGTGCCCATAAAGGTTAGGAAGCAGGTGTTAGATTCCCTGGAACTGGAATCACAGAGGTTATGAGCCACCATGTGGTTGCTGGGAATTGAACCCAGGTTCTATGGAAGCGCAGCCAGTGCCTTTTAACTATGAGCCATTTCTCTAGACCCAAAGTTTTTAAATTTTCATTTAAAATTATGTATCTATATCTGTGTTTGTCCCTGTGAGTGTGGTGCCTTCATAGTCCAGAAGACCAGCTGGAGTTACAGGTACTGTGATCCACCTGACATGGGTGCTAAGAACTGAACTCAGGTCCTCTGCAAGAGCAGCACATACCCTTAGCCACTGAGCAACCTCTCCAGCCCTGTATTCCTACTTTGGTAAACAGCCTGCTCTCATGATATTTCCATTGGTATTTATTTTGACTTGAAAGAGAGTGCTCTCAGCTGGGCGTTGGTGGCGCACGCCTTTAATCCCAGCACTTGGGAGGCAGAGGCAGGCAGATCTTTGTGAGTTCAAAGGCAGCCTGGTCTCCAGAGCGAGTGCCAGGATAGGCTCCAAACCTACAGAGAAATCCTGTCTCAAAAAAACAAAACAAACAAAGAGGGTGCTCTCTGTAGAGGCAGGCTTAGAATATTAGGCGTTTCTCTCACCCATTTTGTTTTCTTCAATACAGATCCTAAATTTGACCCAGGCCCTAAAAGACAATAAGAGTCCCCTGCACCTGGTCCAGATGCCACCTGTGATTGTTGAGACGGCGCGTTCCCATCAGCGGTCTACAAGTGAATCCTATACACAGAGCTTTCAGAGTCGGAAGCCCTTCTTTTCATGGTGGTAGCCCTAGGGGCAGGCAGAAGAAACCCTGCAGGTGGACAGGCTGAGAGCACCCCTGGAGAGAAGCTGGTGCACTGCAGAGCCTTTCAGGGCCCTTCCTCTCTGCCTGCTGCCTCCCTCAGGGCCTTCTCACCCCTAGGGAGAAGGCACAGTCAGAGACAAGAATACTCCTGGACCCTTCAGAGTGTTGGGGAGGCTGGTGTCCAGGCAAGGAGTCCAGGTGGCTGAGGAGGAGCTACTCCCTCCCAGCATCTGGTGGCAGGTTGGGAAAGTCCCATCTCCCAACAGCCTCTCCATCCCAGTTCCCTGTTACACTATGTATCAGAAAGAAACAAACAACAGAAACAAAGGTAAATGCTTGTAGGAAAACCCAGATTAGACCCTCTCCAGTCAGAAGACCTTATCTAGACCCAAGTTTGCTTAGACATACTCTGATGCCTAGCAGTTGTTTACTCCCATGGGCTGAGCTGTGTCTGAGGCCCATTGCTGGCCCACAGACAAGCCACAACTCTCCTTTCTGTTTTTGCCAATTGATCCTCCCCCTGCCACACTGTGGTTCTGGCTTCTTGTGGCAGTGAGCAGGCTTTTGCTCTGTACCTGTGGGAGGCTCTGCACACAATCTTTCTGTTCTCTGCCCTGCTGCTGCTTGCCCAGCACTCAGCTGAAGTAGAAGAGGCTAGCCTTGGCATTTGTGTTCTGCTAGGAGCATGTGGAGGTGGTTGACATAGCCTAAGTGCATGCTGAGTGCCTGGAGGAATGTTCTAAGGGGGAGCCTGGCACAGCCTCACTCCTGGGTCCTTCCTTAGTCTCCATGCTTTTCTACTCCGTTTCTGTTGTTTTCCCCAGCTTTTGAGGAGTTCAGTGTGGGTTCTGGAATGGCTCTCTCTAGGGGCTGTGGGTCAGTCAGTTCATGAACGGCCAGGACAGTGTCCTTGTTCTTCCTGTTACCACTGCTGCCTGGAAAGCAACAGGACCTGTGTTCTGCCTCCTAACTGGCAGTGCCCCACAGCTTCCTGCCTTCTTATCCCGGGCTGCTTTCTCCTCAGCTCCCTGAAGAGAGGCCTTCAGACAGTCTCCCAGTGCCTGCCCCGCTCAACGTGCATCTTCCTGCTTCTATGTGTCTCCTCCCTTGCCAGGTGTTTGAACCCTTTGTACACCAAAGCAGAGAACTGGCTTCAGGAGGGAGTGAGAGGAGGGCCACCTGTGGCTGAGAGGCAGCAGTGTTCACACCCTGTGCTATGGACCCGAGGGCTCTCACATTCTACAATTGGTCAGTCAGCCTTGGAAAGAATTTGTCTTGAAGGCTTGAAAAAAAAAAAAAAACCAAAGAAAGGGAATGAGGACCACAGCTGTGTGTCTCATCTGCTTGTCTGGCTCCCACCGTCCAGGTGACAGAGCAGAGGCACACAGCTCTCCCATCAGCTGGAGCAGGCTGCTCTCCGTCCAGTCCAATCTAGGAGCCAGCTTGCTATCAGCTTCCACTTAGTCAACATGAATCTCTGAGCACTGGATATGCATGCCCTGTGGACGAAGGCACCATTGTTTGCCCCACCCCGACAATCCCAGCCAGCCCACTTAGACTCTGGCCTCAGAACCATGTTTGGGAGAACTCCTGTCTCCTGATCTCAGGAGCCTGCAGGGGTCCAGGTACGTGACATTCTTCACAGACATCTTCACACCAGCCTGTTGGCGAGACCCCACTGGGGTGCTGGAGAGAGCCTGAGATGCCTGGAGAGAACCTGGTGTTCCCCAGGCTCTTGTGAACTGTGCTACTCCAGACCAGCTCTGCCATCAGGAGGAAATTGGGTCCAATGTAAGAGGGAGCCAGTGCCAGGCCTGATGGGCAAGGGTGCAGGCGTCCTTCCCTGCCTCTCTCGCTTGAAGCCTGTACTCAGGTTGCCTTGAATGTGGACTTTGGGAGTGCCAAGAGCCCAGAGTGTCAGGCACTTCCAGAACAGCCGTCCCTCTGCCAGCCTGTCCCCATGTCTAGAAGTGGAAGCTGGTTGGTGAGCGCTGCTGCCCCGTTCTTCTAATGCACTGTAGAAATTGTATGTATTGTATTTAAATCAATGCAAATGTATGAATAACAAATCCAGTTCTGATCTCTTTGTCCAGTTTTCTTTGGGGGAGGGAAGACAAGGTAAATGCAATTTTAAGGCAAAGAAACACGTTTTCATGGAGTTACAAAGAAAACTGTTTTCCCAAGACATTTTAAAACCTGACCTGAGTCTATTTATGGGACACATGCTTGTCTTTGATATGAATACTTGTTATAAACTTTTCTCTGGTAGGGACTCTATAGTATTTGCCCTGGCCACTTCCTTAAAGTCAAATTCTGGGATTAAGTATAGAGCAGTAGTTCTCAACCCATGGGTTGCAATGCCTGGAGGCGTGTGCCAAATGACCCTTTCACAGGGGTCACCTAACTGAGACCATCAGAAATTAGAGATGTTTACATTATGATTCATGACAGTAGCAAAAGTACAGCTATGAAGTAGTAATGGAAAGGAATTTTATGGTTGGGGGTCACCACAATGTGAGGGACTGTATTAAAGAGCCGCAGTACTAGGAAGGTTCAGGCTAATTTAGAGAGGTTGGCTTTTCTCCTCCACCAGCAGAGGGCAGTCTTGCCATATAGGTACACCACTGTCCCTGAGGGTAAGGGCTGGTGGGGAGGGGTGATGCTGGCGATTGTGTAGTAGAACCTTAGGAGAAGCCCTTCACCTCTAGGTTAGCAGGCCATCATGCGGTGTGTAAGAGTGACTGATTGGTCCTGTGCCACCCCACCTGAGTATGGTGTGGTCCATGGTGCCTTCTGAGAGACGGTGCTCCCAACAACTGCCTACTCCAACCAAGGCCCCAGTGTCCAAGTGTGGAGACCTCATTTTTCCTTGTAAGCTATGCACCTCTGGAAGAGAAAGCTGAAGTACTGGGATCTCCTGGGGAATATCCTGTCCTTCCCTATCTGGCTCAAATCTCTATCTTGGGATTCTCCTCTTCTGTAACAGACTCACAGAATTCTTGATGTAAATGTTTTTATTTTCCACTTAAACAAATTTTCCCTTCGTACTGGCCATGGCACAAGGGTGTGAGACAGCTGGCTGCTGTATGGTGACAGTAAATGGCAGTTGGTGGCAGAAACGGTGAGATGCTGCATCTGAGTGCATATTACTTTTATCCCGGGGAATGCCATGCAGCCCAGTTATACTGTTAGGTCTGAGGCATGAGCAGCCTTGTTACCAATGGCCTTGTTCTGGGCCAGACGGTGGTGGCGCATGCCTTTGATCCCAGCACTCGGTGGCAGAGGCAGGCGGATCTCTGAGTCTGAGGCCAGCCTGGTTTACAGAGCGAGTTCCAGGACAGGCTCCAAAACAACACAGAGAAACCCTGTCTCAAAAAACAAAAACAACAACAAAAAAGAGGCTCCACATAGTATGGAGCCCAGTGGATGCTGGCTCTGATCTGAACTGAGGACAACAGTCCTATTACCGTGTTTGTCACCAAGACAGGGCCCTGCTCAGGCCGCCTCTTTGCAACTCCATAAGCCCTTTGGCAAAGTCCCTGCAATATCAGGGGAGGACCTCCCCACCCCTTCACTGAGTCAGTGTCTGATCTGGTGGAGGTAACCTGTGGGACCCGGCTTATTCCAGCTTCGGTGGACTCTGGCACTTGTCCTCCGGGAGTTCCCAAACTGCTCGCCGGAAGCCATGTCAGTGGTGCTGTCCTGTGGGTCAGCTGCTGTAGAACCAAGCTCTGGTGCTCTGGTGGGAACAAGAATGTGAGAAGCCCACATAAACACGGAGAGCAGGATGTTTTATCACTATTAAATACTGCTTAGGATAAAAAGAGTGTACCAAGAACTAACTGTATGATAAGGTGAAGTGTTAATTCTTTCTAACTCCATATGCTAAGATCAGGGAATGGGACACTCAGCAAGTCTCCTGACCTTTTTCTATCATTCATGGCATCATAAGTCAGGCATAAATGACATCGGTTAATGCAAGCAATGAAGACTAGCTCACCATCTCAGACCCCAGGACCTGTTCAGTCCCTGCTGTTAAGTCTGAGGGGAGGATCATAGAGGGAAACTTGCTTGTTTTACCTAGGTCCCCCCAGGGCCCACTCCTCCTGGGCCGGCAGTGACATGGGCAGAGGTAGCTGGCCAGAGAAACTATTGCTTGTCCCCATAAGATCTCCACAATACCTGCTGAGACCTCTTCTCCATAGTCCCCCCAGCAGGCTTTAACCAGGCTTGTCTTGGAATGTAAAACCCATTCTACTACTGGTAATTTTTCGTCCTTCCAACAATACTCCCTTCTGCTAGCCAAGAGTTACAGAATTTGGTAGTTCTGCTTCAACTGGGCTTGCTTTCCCACGAGGATCACAGGGTCGTTGACTCCAACAATAACAATAGTCTTAGGTGCCATAGCAATATAACATGAACTGTAGGTACCTTACAGTAAGGGCAAGTCACTGGTTCAAGGTCACAGAGCCAGAGCAGTGGAGCAGGCATCCCCTCTATCTCTTCCCTCAGATCTCCAGTCCCAGGCTCCTACCTCAGCCGGCCACAGTGGTTCTGCCTCGGGGGCCTTTTCCTGCGCAGCCTTCTTAGGGCCTCAGCTACACGGTGATCCCCTGCACATTCCCAGATGATCTGGGCCCGCTCTTCAGCAAGCTGGTCCCCACTGCGCTGGAACAGGCCCTGGATCTGCACCAACTCTGCATCCTGGAATATGTTGGCAGAGGCCTGCTTTCGTCCCCGGGACTCAGTTGAAGCCTGCCATAGGGGTGGCTCGCTCACCACAGAGGCTGGGGTCCCCATCACCGGTGCTCTGAGGGTAGAAGGTGGAGAGACATAAGCACTCCTGTAGCCATCTACAGATGTGGCGATGTCAACTAGCAGCTGGCCACAGATTGGACAAGGGAAAATTAAAATCTATTCACAGAAAGACAGGTACACATTTGCTACAACAGTAAGAGTGGAATGGGGCTGGGAATGTAGCTCATTTATTTGATAGAGTGCTCGAATAGTGTGCACGGAACACTGGCTTTGAGCCCCAGCACCACATAAACAAGTGCATGTCTGTAAGCCTAGCACTTGGGAGATGGAGGCAGGGGGATCAAAAGTTCAAAGTCAGGACTGGAGAGGTGGCTGCTCTTGGAGAGGACCGAGTTCAGTTCTTGGCACCCACATGGCTGCTCACAACTGTCTGTAAGTCCAGTCCCAGGGAAACTCTGGCCTCTGCAGACACCAGGCACGTACATGGAACATGGGATATACATGCAGTCAAACGCTCATACAAATAAATCTTAAAAAGGAAAAGCTACAAAGTCATCCTCAGCTATATATTGAGTCTGAGAACAGCCTGGACTACATGGTGCCACGTTTAAAAAAAAAAAAAAGACAGTAAATACAAGCATTTCCAGTTTGCTCTCAACCTGCTCACAGCAGGAGGCCTCAACCTCACCTGCTGTTCCTTTGTTCTCTGGGAGGGTCTGAGTCATCACCCAATTCAGAACTGTTACCCCCTCCCTTGCTCTGGCCTCCTCCACTTCAACACATTTCTGCCCTAGTTTCTATCCTAAGAATCCCCTTTCTTTTCAAGACTTAATACCTAGGATAAATCCACAAAAGACATCCGGATAAAATCATAAAAGCTATATTTTTACCTGGAAAATAGGAATAAGAAAACCTGTCTTTCAGACACTATTATAGAACCCAGTTAAAAGCTGTGTGGTAATTAACGCCCAGGAACTGGTGGATCTACATGCTCAAAACAAAAGCTAAGTGACCAAGGCACACTTTCAGGTTAATGAGAAAGAAAAGACAAGCATGGATGTGTACTGTGCACTGGGTGACATCATTAATCCTCAAAATACCTCTAGATAACAGATACTGTTATCGCTATCCCACTGCTATCCAAGGGCTGGGGCCCAATTGGACGCCATCCCACAGTTGAAACTCAGCCTGCTTCTTCCCATTTCCATTAGGAGTGAAGGACATCCCTCCCTCCTTATCCCACAAGGTGGAGTTGTGCCCAGTCACATGACTAGGTGACAGCATCATCCTGTCTTGAATCAGGGGTGTTCCCAGAAGAAAATTCCCAGTTTCTATACAGAACTCTAGGACTGCAGCTGAGCCCGGTGCACAGAGTGACACGAGACTCAGAGGAGTCAGGGCTCTGTCCCTGGTTCTGCCATTCCCTGGTTTTAGGCCTCAGGAATCCCCATCACCTCCAGGCCGATCGCCTGCCATTGTGGGAGCAGTTTGAGGCTGATGGCCTCAGAGTGTCTGTCTGCACTAGTGTTGAGTCAGTGATGCCATGACTAGGAAGGGTCTGTGCTGAAGGGTAACAAGCGCTTGCCTGCTCCTTGTTGGCCGGGAGCTGCATGTGTGGACATGTCTAATTAGGTTCCACAAAGTGCCTCAACTAGCAGTTACTGCTCTCCCCACCCCTGTTTTGCTACACTGGGTGGAAGGGTCAGAACCTGGCAGAAGTCTGAGAACACTGCCAAGTGGTCAAGCCCTAGGTAGACTGGTCTGGGATGGTGGAGAGGGGTGATGTCCTTTCAGAATCAGCAATGGCATCATCAGGTAGCAGCTGTCAGCAGGAGACAATGGCCTGGGGCCTGACTGCCCATGTTAGTTTCAGCACCCTTTACAGGGCTGCAGGCTTCCACTGGCCAGTCTCCAGTGAGCTGAATTAGTTACAACGCAAGAAACCTGGGCAGTCCAGGGTCCAACCTCAACCACCCCCTATGAATTCAGGCAGCCGAGTGAAGCTAGGATTCCACATAGGGTGAGACGGTAAACATCAGGAAAACTGACTTATTTTTATTTCTTTTTGAGACAGGGTTTCTTTCTCTGTGTAGCTTTGGACTCTATCCTGGCACTCGCTTTGTAGACCAGGCTGGCCTCAGACTCACAGAGATCTGCCTGCCTCTGCCTCCCAAGTGCTTGGATCAAAGGCATGCCCCACCACCTCCCGACAGGAAAACTGACTTCTTTTTATTTCTTTTTGAGACGGGTTTTCTTTCTCTGTGTAGCTTTGGACTCTATCCTGGCACTCGCTTTGTAGACCAGGCTGGCCTCAGACTCACAGAGATCTGCCTGCCTCTGCCTCCCAAGTGCTTGGATCAAAGGCATGCGCCACCACCTCCCGACAGGAAAACTGACTTTGAAGTGAGGTCAGAACACTGTCAGAAAGCACTTCCTGTCTCATTCACTGTGTTCTGTCATTCCTCTCTGAGTTTCTGGGACAAAACCTTACTCCAGAAAGCTCAAGTGTTTACTTGAACAATGGTACTTTGTAAAACTGGAAAACGAAAGCACGGGCTATTAAAAGATTACAGCTGCAGCTTTTGTTCTTGAGCTGCCATAGAAGATAAGCAAGGGTCTGAGTGCAGATGAATAAGGACTAATTACAAAACACTTCAGTTGGACACAACAGGTTAAGAATGAACCCCCAAAGGATATACTGAATGTTGAGGATGACAAAGTTCAACTTATTTTGAGTCAGGCATTAAAGGAAGAACTGTACAGCTCTTAACAAAGATTTAAGACATGCCTCACCGGCGAGTGCACGGACAGCACAGGCGGTCCATGAGACGTTAGTTCCACTGCTATTCCATAATAATTTCTCCATCCTACCACCTCCTCGAAGGGATGCACTGGTAACGCTGGAGTTAGAGCACACTTAGGTGGGGCGGCAGTTCCTGCTCCCTATTCAGGCTGCTATCTTTGAATAACCCTGGTGATGGCAACACTCTCTTTAAAGCACCTAGAGGTCATAGCTTAAGTTAACACTGTGGCCCTATCCTGCTACTCTGTACAGATGTCTCTCTGGGCAACAGCCAAAACCTGTTGCTCCTCAAGTGGAAAGCCACATTCAAATCACCCTGTGTCCCATATACTGCTGGGTTTCCAAATCTATACCCCAGAAGTGATGAAGAAAACTGGGTTGTTATTGCAGATCCATTTTCAGGCATGACCTAAAAAATAAACTAGTAGATCGAAGAATAATTCCTTTTGAAAGAATTCAAACCCCCAAGGTTCCTTGACTTCAATTTGTTCATCAAAATGATGAGGGACAAAAATCCTTACTGGAGCCGGCCGTTGGTGGCACACGCCTTTAATCCCAGCACTCGGGAGGCAGAGGCAGGGGGGTCTCTGTGAGGTCTAGACCAGCCTGGTCTACAATAGCTATTTCCAAACCATCTTCCCAAAGCCACAGAGAAACCCTGTCTCGCAAAAAAAAAAAAAAGTAAAAAATCCTTACTGGGTACAGAGATGAAATATGAGCTGGTTGTTGGTGGCACATGCCTTTAATCCCAGCACTCGGGAGGCAGAGGCAGGCGGATCTCTGTGAGTTTGAGGCCAGCCTGGTCTACAAAGCGAGTGCCAGGATAGGCTCCAAAGCTACACAGAGAAAGAAACCCTGTCTCAAAAAGAAATAAAAATAAGTCAGTTTTCCTGATGTTTACCGTCTCACCCTATGTGGAATCCTAGGGAAAGAAATATATATGAGAGTGTCCATCCTAGTATCTGGCATCCTACAGACGCTCTCTACACTGCATATTGGTTGAATGAAAATAATGTCAAGGGAAGGCTATTAACAGGACTATTTAGAACCATGGTCGTCATCACTGACATACTCAAACTCTACCCAGGGAGGCTTCAAAGAGAGTCAAGGTCGTCTGTGCCCCTTTAAAACCATGGTTTTATGACTAACTTCATAGAAGAAAGCCTCTTGCTGTGTCAAGCACAGAACAGCTCTTTCAGGGTTTTTGTTTTTGGGTTTTTTTGTTTTTGTTTTGTTTTTGTTCCTCATATAAGGTGGCATCCTAATGTCCCTTGTTAGTGGGCACTATTGTTAAGCTTATTTTCTAGATAAAACAGCTAAAGTAGTAACTTACTCTACACGCACGGCTGCCAGGTGATCTTAGGCTATTAACAAGGTAGTCTGACCCGAGTGTGCCTACGCTCTCAACCAGTTTTCATTCTTGCCAAATGGCTGAGAAGGTGTTCAAAAGAAACAAGGGGGCAGGAGGTTCTGACACCTCCGAGAGCCTGCGTTTCTGCGTCTGGGGGTTGGGAGGTCGCCACCGATCCACAGACAGGATTCCCAAGCCAGCACTCGTCTGCGCTGGAGTTAGAGCGAGGGGAGCTAAAGCAAAATTCCATGGGGAGTTAGATCAGCGTCAACATATAGCCAGTTCCAACAGACCACAAATAGGGATCCGGCAGCTAAGACGCCCACTCCAATCTCTCTCAGGCTTTTCGAAAGGGCAGACGCAGCTCTGGGCTTCCTGCCCTGAAGGTGATCGCAAGGGCCAAGCGGAGGTGACTGGCTGGCCAAGAGCTTGGGAGAGGGTATCTTGGCAGAAGGTACAGGGCGCCATCTCCAGCACAGTCGGCCCCAGGAATCAGAAGTGGCGGCTAGCAGAAAAAGAGGCCCTTAAATGGATCTAGGGTGTGCGACCCGGCGGATTCCTAGCTTCGACCGTCCTCCGGTGCGCTCCCGCGCAGAGCTGAGCCGGACCATGGCCTACCTACCTGGTTGCCTTGGCTGCCCGAGGCGGGCAGAACGCAGCCGGGATCCTGGCCGAGCCACCTGGAACGCAGCCACAGTTCCCCGGAGAAAGTGCTCTGAGCCCCTCAACAGCCAATCCTCGGCCACAGCCTTGCAGCGAGCGGCTGAGCCAACCTTCCAAAATCGAATGCG